TAATAGATTGTAAAAATACTCTTGTAAAATTCACATCTGCTCTCACTTTTCAAGAGAAAGGTAAGTTTCCATCTCAAACACAGCAAAATCCCAAGGGGAAATACAATGCAAATGCAAGTAGTTTTGAAAATCAAGACATGGATCAAGTCAAATCAATCATCACACTTCACAGTGGTAAGGTTATTGAAAAACTCATTCTTGAACCTTGTGAGAAAGATGAGTCAATCTTTAAGGGTAAGGAAAGGGTTGAATTTGAATATTACAAAGAAAAGACTAATTCCCCATCAGTACTTCTATTTCCTTATGCCATGACCAAACAAAGGGAAGTTAATCACAATTGTGAAATATTTGAAACTTTTAAACAGGAAGAAATTAAGGATGAAAAAGGCATCGAAAATGTTATCGCGGATCATTTGTCAAAATTAGCAATAGATTCAACATCTGAGATCACACTAATCGATGATTACTTTCTTGTTGAAGCTTTACTTTCTCTTAGTTCAATGCCTTGGTTTGCTAAAAATATCAATTTTCTTACTTCAGGATTTTTACCAGCTTATTTGGATAACCAAGATAAAAGAAAGTTTTTGAGCAACGTGCGAAACTTTTATTGGGATGACCCTTACTTCTTCAAATATTGTCCTAATCAAATATTTCAAAGTTACATTCCCGACAATGAGGTAAGTTATGTCATTAAATTTTGTCACTCTAAGACATTTGAGAGTCATTTCTCATCAAAGAAAACAACTGCAAAAATCCTACAAATTGGATTTTGTTGGCCCACCATGTTCAAGGATTCATATTCATTCTACAAAACCTATGAAATTTGTCAAAAGGTGGGATTTATTTTAAAACACAAAGAGTCTTTAAATAATCTTCTATTGACTATTAAGTCTCATCATAGTAGAGATACGCATTGTGCAATTCATGACTTATAAACCCATTTCCATAAAGAACATGCTCAACATTGTCTTTGGAATCTGACTAAAAAAAGACCTTATTTGCCGATTTTTAAGAAAACTGGATGGGAAGCCTATCCCTGACCTATAGAGGGCATTTAAGTCATTCTTGGACGTTAAACCAAAAGAAGATGTGAGTCATAATCACAACTACGATTTAAGTCTTAGTTTGTAAAAACTTGTATCTTTTGGTTTTATTAATAGCATAATAATAGTGTTTTGTTGTTTCTTATATTTTTTTAAGTGTGTTTTAGGTTTGTCAGTGTTTGGTATTTCAGGTGATGTTTTTTATATTCTATCTTTATACCTTAGAACATTAAGAACAATGTCTCGTTTTGGTTGGGGGGAGGGTAGTAGTTGATATTAAAAAAAAAACTAACTATGTTTTTTTTTTTCATAAACCATTTGCAAACTGTTGTTACTAAGATGGTAGAGTAAGGAGAGATTTTATTGACTCTTGAGACGTATCTTGGTAAATATTTTTCAATGGTTATTTGCAATATTCATAACAAGGTCTATCATAAAACTTAAAATATTCAGGTTTACAAATTCTCCATTGTTATCACTTAATTCTGCTCATATACTTATTTAACATATATTCTTAAATCTTAATTTTCACACACACACTTTATCATATGATTGTGGGTTACACATTGGATTATGACATTATTTATGTTCTTTTGTTAAAGGTAACAATTAAGGGCAAGGGATAGTATATAATTTTTTTAAAAAAAAATTGATGATAATAAAAATATAGATAAGTTTGGTTTTGTAGCCTCCTTAACTTAAGCAATTAAGCCCGAAGGAGTGTCTTAACACCTAATAGCCTAAAGTCAACTGATTTGGGAGCTCTTGGCCCAACTCTTGTTACATGGGTTGAGGGGAAAAGCTTAAGGGAATAAAACATTGCACTATCTACATATAAGTATCTATCTGTAACCTGAGTTACTAAGTTCATAGGGGTGTCTCAACACCTAATGCCCTAAGACCAACTAGTCTGGGAGTCATTAGCCGAAAGCTTATTATATAGGTTAAAGATGCATTGTCTTTTAAGTTACATGTATATATATTTTTTTTAAAAAAGAAAAAAAATCCAAACCTAAGGAAGTTAACCTTAAACATTAGAACAAGAATTTTGTTTTCTTCCAAGTAAAGTCTCATAACTATATGTTGATATATTGAGCACAAAAAAAAAGTTTATTAATATCTTGTTGAAAAGGTTGTGAGCAGATATATAAATTTAATGAGAGTTTGTTTATCCCGATAAATTAGTAGAAGTTGAATGATAAATACCTTACTTTGTGGAATTTGTAATTTTTTTTTCTATTTTAATGCTTTGATTACTAGAGACTAGTAATAAACTGATTGGAGGGGGTGTGATTGGTACCTAAAAGTGCATTTTTATCAAGGTTTTATACCATCATTTTATACTTGAAGTATCAATAACTCCTTAACTAAAGCATGTTTTATAATAACATATCTAATAATATAAGATACCTTTAATTTATAGTAAATGTTCATTCTAAATTCAGGCTTATCATATAAATGGAAGAATTGATTAATGAGTTTAAGAACTGAAATTGAAAAGACAAAGAGATGGCTAAAATTATAAAAGAGATGCTGGTGTAGTCCAAACCGGAACACTGTTCAGTAATTAGGTCATATCTTGAGTTGTAGATCTCTGATTTAAGTCTACTTTATATGGATGGAAAGGTAAGACATGGGCCTACAACTTTGATGAAGTTCAAGATTTAAAAATATTGTTTTCAAGTCCAAATTTTAACAACAATGAAGAAGTCTGAATTTGTCCTGCAACCCGAACACTGTTCAGTGTTTGTCTCATATCTGGAGTTCTAGAAGTCCGAATGACCTCAATGTTTTTTTCCTGGAAAGCTAAGATAATTTTCTAGAACTTTTATGTTCAAGTGGTTCCAATTATGACATTATCAATGATGTTTTAGGCAGATAAAAGAAGATAAGGATTGTCACTAAGTCAAGAGTTGGCCACCTACTCATCAATTAGTCATCAAGTCAATAGTTTCAAATTTTAGCTTTCCTTATTTAAACACAATCCTTGCTATTTCAACATGTATCTTTTCTCATTTTGACATAATTATACACACATCATCAGACTAAATATGTTGACTTAAACATCCACCCCTTTTGATGCATAGTGGGCCAAAAGCATGACTTTAATGAACCAAGAGTTCCCTCATTCCTTTTATGTTAATTTCATTTAATTCACACATATTCACTTCACAAACTATCTATTATATAGATATAATAAGGAAAAACCATAATTTCCCCTTCACTTCTCTTTATAGGGTTGGCCATAGATTAGTACTTAAAAGTGCATTTTTATTAAGGTTTTATATCATTATTTTGCACTTGAAGTATCAATAACTCCTTAACTAAAGCATGTTTTATAATAACAAGTCTGATATCATAATGCATCTTTAATTTATGGTAAATGTTCATCCTAAATGTAGACCTATCACACAAATAAAAGGATTGATTAATGAGTTGAACTATTGAAATTGAAAGGACAAAAAGAGGGTCAAACTTAGAAAAAAGATGCTAGTGCAGTCCAAATTGGAATACTATTCAGTAATTGAGTCATATCTGGAGTTGTAGATCTTAGATTTAGGTCTACTTTATATGGATGGAAAGCTAAGACATAAATCTAAAACTTTCACAAGAAGTCAAGACTTAATTCTGCTGTTTGGAAGTCCAAATCTTTCAACAATGTAGAAGTCTGAATCTGTCCTGTAGCCTAGACATTATTTAGTGTTTAGCCTATATCTCGAGTTGTAGAAGTCAAAATGACCTCAAAAGTTTTTCTTGGAAAGCTAAGATAATTTCTTAGAACTTTTATATGGAAGTTTGGTTTAAATTATGATGTTATCAATGATGTTTTATTCAGACAAGAAGATAAAAATTATCACCAAGTCAAGATATGATCACCCACTCAACAATTAGTCATCAAATCAATAGTTTCAAATTTTGGCTTATAGGAGGCATTTTGCATGCATTTAGGCATCTTGGTTTTTAGATCAAGATCATGCTCTTACTTTCTCTCTTTGTATTTTTGTAATGCTTAAGGTTTGCTTTCATTAATATCTTGTTTATACCTTTCATTTCCTTTCCTTTACTTAGTTAACTTTTATCTTATTTATGTTTTTAAGTTTTGCAAATAACCTGGACATGATAATGATTCATAGGAAGTAAATTTTATTGACGAATTAGTTTATGATCAATTTGAATCTACCATAAGTAAAACAAAGTTTGATGAATATGAAGATTTGCAAATGATTTATTATCAGAAAGAAATCACGGATGAAAAAGGCATTGAAAATATTGATGCGGATCTTTTGTTATGAGTGATAATAGATTTGACATCTGATATTACACCATCGATGATTATTTTCTTGACGAATCCTTACTTTATCTTAGATCAATGTCCTGGTTTGTTAAAAATACCAATTTTCTTGGTTTAGGAGATTTGCTAGCTCATTCGAGTACCCAAGACAAAGAAAAGCTTTTGAACGAAGTGAAAATTTTTTATTGGGATGACCTTAACTTATTCAAATATTATCCTGATCAAATATTTTAAAGATGCATTCCTGACAATGAGGTAAGTAGTGTCATTAAACTTTGTCATTCTGAAGCATGTAGGAATCATTTCTTGTAAAAATAAACAGCTGCAAAAAATTTTCAAAATAGATTTTATTGGATCACCATGTTCACATACACGTATGCATTCTACAAAACTAGTGAAAATTGTCAAAAAGTTGATACTAGCCAAAAATATTTGCTTTATAATTCTCGACTGCATTTATTCCCTAGAAAGCGAAGATCACGATAGAGCAATCTATTTATTGAGAAATATGTGTATGCTTATAGGGCCTTTGATATTGAGAAGAATGCCAATGTTTTTAAGGTAAATGGACGTCGTTTGAAAGTTTACTTTGATAATTTTCCTAATGAATATGAATCCAGTGGTTTGAATGATGCTGTAGATTAATGTTGATTATTTTTTTTCACATTATTTTTGTGTTTCTTTTTTGTGTGATTTTTATTTTGTTAGGCTCTTTCACCCTGGTTAAATGGCGGATAATAGTACTCCGTGACTTAAGTAGGTTTTTTCAGTTTCCCATAATAACTAATATATGTGTATATATTTATGCAATTCTTTGCTCTTTCCCCTTTCTTTGAATCTCTTATCTAATTCTCATTTGAAAATGGATACCATTCTTGAAAAATTGAAAAAGTATTTTACCGCTCTACCTTAAAATGCGATTACAAAAATTTACCTTGCTAGATGCGCAAGATTGAGGTTGTTAATGAATCATGGAATTCCTGAAGATATTCACTGGTTGATTGAAGCAAAGGTCTGATTATCAGGTGAGTCCTCTAATTCTTTCATTTCACACATGCCTAGAACGAGTAAAAGCACTTTTTCAAAGAAATATCATGCAAAACTACTGAAAGTCTATCACAGATATGCTAGATATACTTGTAATCCAACATGTCGTTCTTTAGGAATGATATCTGTAAACTGTGAAAATAAAATATAATTCATTAAAGATGACCTGAGTAAGGAGTCTTTAGATAATATTCTATTGACTCTTGAGACGTATCCTAGTGGAGATGTGCATTGTGCAATTCATGATTTATGGTTACAATTCCATAAAGAACATGATCGACTTAGTGTTAGAAATTTGACTAAAAAAGACCCTATTTGTTGGTTTTTAAGAAAACTGGATGGGAAGCCTATTCTCGACCCATAAAGAGCATTTAAGTCGTTCTTGGATGTAAAACTAAGGGAAGATATGAGCCACAATTACAACTACCTGTACATACACATACTTTTTCAAAAAAATAAAATAAAGAAATAAAGAAAGAGAGATAGAGAGTATGAGACTCCAGCTGGCCTGCATGTAGGCGGTATGATTGCATTTTCAAGTTCTCATCTATAAAATCTTCTCTTTCTTCCCTTCATTTCTACTCAACTCATACATTCAATAGATATAGAAGTGTGAAGAAATGACAGGTTCCTCAAGTCATCATATAAGAAACATTTGTGTTTTTGATGGATTCAGTCTTGAGAAGCAAATAGAGTTTTTAGAAGCAGCAAATCATCTTGGTTAGGTAATAGTTGAGAGAAAGATTCATTTAGTGTATGGGAGAGGCAACCTTAGGTTAACGGGGGAAGTGTCAATAGCTGTATTTTTAGAAGGAAGTCAAGTCTTGGGGGTTGTCCCCAAAGCTTTAGCAAATGGGGACATCATTAGAAAAATAATTGGAGAGGAACTATAGGTCTCCATAATGTCTAATCGAATGAATGCAATGTTTATACATGCTGATGCCTTCATTGCCTTACCAGGTGGTCTGGGCATGTTGGAAGAGATCTTTCATATTTTCTTTTGGACCCAACTGTACATTCACCATAAACCCATAGGTTTGTTAAATGTTAATGGTTTTTAAGATAAATTATTGTCTTTTCTTGATCATGCTGTGGAATAGGAATTTCTAACATCTTCGGTATGACAAATCATAATCTCTGCTACTACTGCTAAATAATTGATTGATCAACTATAATCTTTCACTCTTGTAATTCATTCCTTTATGAGTCATATAAATTGGTCAACTAAGAAAAGTCGTAAGAAGTTTATATTAGATTTGAGCCTGTGTTTATGAATCCTTGTGTCTTTTGGTTTTCTTAATAGTATATTATTTTATTTTGTTATTTCTTATTTTTTTTAAGTGTGTTTCATGTGATGTCTTTTATACTCTATCTTTCTACCTTAGGACATTAAGGACAATGTCTCATTTTGGTTGGGTGAAAAGGATAGTAGTTGATATTATTAAAAAAATTAACTAATTGTGTTTTTTATTTTATAAATCATTTGCAAAGCTGTTGTTATTAGGATGACAGAGTAAATGGGTTCTTTTGTTAAAGTGACTTTTAAGATGTATTTTAGTAAACATTATTAAGACGGTGATTAGTACTTAAAAGTGCATTTTTATCAAGGTTTTATATCATCATTTTGCACTTGAAGTATCAATAACTCCTTAACTAAAGCATGCTTTATAATAATATATCTAATAATATAAGATACCTTTAATTTATGGTAAATGATTATTTTAAATGCAGGCCTATCACATAAATGAAAGGATTGATTGATGAATTTAAGAACTGAAATTGAAAGGACAAAGAGATGGCTGAACTTAAAAAAGAGATGTCGGTGCAATCCAAACCGGAACACTGTTCAGTAATTGGGTCATATCTGGAGCTATAGATCTCAGATTTAGGTCTACTTTATATTGAGTAATAAAAAGAGTTTATACTATATTTATTTGAAATATTATTAGTAAATCCTCTAACTTTGACATTTGTTGTCATCATTATTTAATCTTCATATTGATCTTCCATCTCAAAGCTCTCATCAACTTCTTTATTATTATTATTATTACTACTACTATTACTACTACTATTGTTGTTGTTATTGTATTATTATTGGTTATAATTTATACAATTAACCTCCTTATGGTTCGACCCCGATTTTACCAAGTTATTTATTACTTCGACACTCCTGCACTTGAAAAAAGATATTAATCTTTTGGTTGTGTTAGCCACCCCTTATCTAATTACCCATACATTTTCATTAACAAATGATCATAATTTCATGCCCTCAATCACATACAACACATGAATTTATTTAATTTTAATAATTAATATATTTTTCCCAATTTAAGTCTAACAACCCTACTCTAAAATTCAACATTAAAGCATTAATTCATAATTGAATTTGAAATGAGTAGGATCATGTTTAGAACTCCTTATCTGGTAAAAATCAAGGTCTTAATCTTCAACCAATCAAATTTTTTTACTTTCCGATTTTCTAATGGCAGCCAACCCTCTCTCCTCTTTCTTTATTCCAATTTTCTTTTTAATCTCTTACTTACAAGTGTTTATTTTACCTATAAACCCTTAATCTTGAATGAGTTCTTGGAATTTTGGTGTTCTTCTCTTGATTTGGCAAGAACAAAATAAAAAGCTCCCTTCCTTTTCTTAATATTGTTGCAAATTTTTGATGAGCAAGAGAGAGAGGTATTTATAGCCCATAATTTCTCTTGTTTAGACCCCATTTTCTTTAAGTGTACTACTTTTGCTCCCACATCTTTTCTTCTTATAATTAAGTTATACTTCATTTCATTTCTTATACTGCTACTCCTCACCTTTTTAGATTAGATTTTTTTTTTAATTTAATCCAACTCTCAATATTACTAGGTTAATTTATAATGTTTTGAAATATTATGTCTGGAAATTTATATTTAAAATTTTTTGAATTCTCATTTTTATTTAAATCTATACATGAATTTCTTCACTTTTATTTTTCATTTATTTAGTTTGCAATTTACGTAAACATTTATTTCTCGAGGTATACACATTAACTTCTTAACAAATACATTCAATTTACTATAAACAAATATTCTTGATACTGAAATTATATTGTCACAAAGGCTACACATATTATCATAGAATTGATTACATTATTATTAAATATTTAGCACTAGATTAGTCATTATTGATCCACTCAAAACACCTTCTTTTTCGTTGTTCTCCTTTTACAAGTCCATTGAATTTTGTTTAGGAGCTTTAATACTAATTGTAATACTTTGTAATTTATACATGCAAAAAATAACTTTATTAAGCCTGAAACTCAAAACATTAGGGTACTTTTTTTATATATAGAATACAAGACTAGTATGGTTTAGTCCTTACTTTGATCTCTTTTCATTAAGCTAAATTACAAGGAATCAAGCAACATGCAAATATCATGTTCATTATAATTTTTACTTTTTAATTCTTAAGGATTCTATATATATATATAATTTGATAATCAAAAACTTAGTTTACAAATCATTTCTTTATTAACATATGCATCAGTCACACTTATTAACTTAATCATTCTCATCTTTGTTGTTTACTTCCAATCTATTATTTGAAATCATTCTCAACTTTGTTATTTATGTCCAATCCATTATTTGAACCCTTCACACCAAATTTATATAGATATATTCCATACCATTATCATGTCATCAAATAAACAATTTGTATTCATCGACATGTTAATAGAAAACATTATCCATATAAAAATGAACACCACGAAGACTCATTCTTTTACAAATATAAATGATTTCATATATTTTTTAGTGATTTAATTTTTACATTTAACAATTTAAAATTCTCATTTTTCATACCCTTGGTCATTTAGTGCTAGCTTGTTTTATGACGATTGATTTTAGTTGCCTTATCACCATTTTTAACTTTTCATATTAAATCGCATCATTACCCATTATTAACATGTTTTCACCCCACTAAGTAAAAACATATTCAAGATTTATTTCACCTTTCAGCTTGGTTTTTCATTGCATCACATGATTTAAATATTATTAAATTTATATATATATATATATATATATATATAATCATGTTTTAAAATTTTTAAACAACCATTACTTCTAATATACACAACCTTTATCCATTTGTCTTTTGTGCTATCATATATTCTTATAATAGTTCCTTCCTCTTTAGGAACCTGTAAGGTTATCCTCAAATAGCCCCAAGTTATGCCATATAAGTCATTTTAATCATTTTTTATATGCACTTGATTACATTATCACATTAAATAATAATTTTTTCTATACAAAAAAAAATTCATACAACACAACCCTACTTTATACTTTATTTGGCTTCCTAACATAGTCATGCACTTAATCCTTTTTTATCTCTAAGCAATTATTAATAGATAACATCATCTTTCTTATTATATTGTTTGTCATAATCTAATTTTGGGTTATTTCTCTAAAATCATCTTTTTTCAAAATAAAAATAAAAATAAAAGCTGGCAACGTGGAGAATGCAGGACGGGGAATCAAGCTGCAATTTTTGGAGGAAGTTTAAGGCCTAATTGTACTCCATTATGCCCAAAAATAGAAAAAAAATGCAAATTCAAGGTCAAATTAAATGATGATTTGATGAATTTGCATAAAAATTAAGTCCAGGGACATAATTAAATTTTTAATTGGCCAATTTAATTTAATAATGGGCCAAATTAAATTTTAATTATGTTTAAGAATTAATTTGAGTCCAATTAAAGGATTTAATTAAGTGTAAGAACTTAATTATACTGTAAATGGGTCAAATTAATTTTATGTGGGGCTTAATTGGTGAAAAATTAAGTTTGGGGGCCTAATTTTGGCTGAATTGAGAAGATTGAAATTTTAAGAGATCAAATTTAATTTTTACCAAGTTAATTGGTTGAAATTAGAGGTCAAATTGCAAGAAAATTGAAGTTTAGGGGTCAATTAGGGGCTAAATTGAAGAAATCTGAGACTAGGGATGATATCGCAATAGGCGTGTAACTTTGGGGCTCCAATTAAACTTCATCAAGGCCTTAATTGAAAAATTTTAAGGTCAATTAGGGGTTCGATTAAAAGCAATTGAAAGAGGAAGGACTGAAATGAATTTTGATCGAAAACAGGATTTTGGCACTATTCATCTTCATCTTTAAATCCTTGAAATAGCTGGTCCAGTTACCTACTTTGTAGCTGCATTTAATATACCTAATATCTACCAAATTTGCCAAAACTTGCACGAAACTGATTACCAGACATCCATCTACATCAAGGTATAGTCGGCACCAGCTCACTAGCAAATAAACGGACGTGGCACCACCCCAAAGAGGTCAACTCAGGCAGCCTACAGCTGTAGATTTGACAATTTGACATTGCGCCATGCCTACTGTAAGCCAACAGTTGGGATTCTTTTCATCTGAATCAAAGGCTGAAATTTTTCTCCAGCGTATACAAGATTGCTCTTTTCCATTGCTTATAAATAGAGGTGGATTTGATGGCCGGAAGGGGAGAAAATCAGGTCCAAAATCAGCTAAAAAACCAGTTTTTCTATTGATTTCTATAAATTTTCTTCTTTCTTTCTCTCTCCACCGTGACCTTCAGCCACCACCACCGGTCTTTCCACCATCAGCTCCACCATAGGAAGCCAACTCAACCACCAGCCGACCACTAAGAGCCACCGTCGGTTTCTCTCCCCTCTCTGCAGCCTCTCCTCTGCATTTTTTTCTTCCTTCTTTCTTTCTCTTCCAACTGCAGTCGCTGCAACCAACTCCATCGTCGTTTCCACCGTCAGCTTCAGGTTAACCTCCCCTGCCAGCCAGCCATAACTGCCACGCCAGGTGGTATGCCACCCTTCCCTTGGTCCTTCATCTTCCCTATGGAGTTCCACTATACATGCAATGGGTTATGTTTTTTTTTTTATAAATCTAAAAATTTTCAAAAAAAATCATTTAAAAAAATTATGATTTTCTCATGTGTGTGTGTGTGTGTCTGTATATATATATTACCAATTTTGCATAATATCAGGTTGTGTATTTACACTGTAAAATATAAATCCGGTATTAAAATACCCTGTTTCCTCAGAAATTATAAAAAATTCTAAACATTTTTTAAAAAATATTTTGTTGCATATAACCAAATCCTGAAATTTTTCCAAGCATGTTTTTTATAAAAAAAACAAAATTGCATCTTTTTCATGTTATTTTTTTAAATCCAAAACAGGATATCGTAACTAGTTTATGATTATCCATTAGGATTTGGCCAACATGTCAAAAATCTTTTTTTTTTCAATCCTTTTTTTTTTTAGAATCTATATGTAGATTTTAATATTTGTGAGGTGTAAAATTACACGATAAAGTACACTTTGAGATATTAAAGATACAAGATGTAAATAAATACGATGCTAAAATTCAGACTTTAGAACGGTTAAGATTTAACCCAATAAGAAAGAGACTCCCTCATGAAGGGAGATCTGCTTTGAACCTGAATAAAGACCAACGAATAGAAACTCGACCTAGAAAAATAATCAAACAACAATGCAACTTATCTTAGGTAGGGTGCATTAGGGGTGATGTATCTTTCCCTTGTACAACCAGTCCCTTACTCAGATTCTTGTAGACCATAGGTTCCTAGTGACCATAATATTAGGTGACGACTTCTAAATATTAATCATAATTTTCTGATTAAATCCAAAAAATCTTCCCAACATACAACACCCCTCATCAGGAGGCACAATAGAGAGCCCTCGTTATCGCCAGACGACGTCACGCCCCCTACGACATTGGTCATCCTTCTTATCACTATTTGAATTTGCTAAATTATCTACCCCTCCATGCATTCTCCTTAGGTGATACAATCTTTGTCTTTATCCTTCATAAAGGCTATATATTAATCAATTCAATAATCTATATCATGAACTCAATCATAAAATTCTTATTAATCTAATACTCAAATCCATAATTTACCACTTTTATTAATCTAGTGCTCATGTCTATAAATGAGTTTTACAACTTTAGTTATGATTAAAACACTAGATAGTGTTTTTGGATTTGTTAGGATAAATTTACTAGAATTAGATAATTTTTAATCTTTTATTGGAATTGCTATTGAGTGATGGTTTTAACATTGGAATATATAAGAATGAATATGAACATGAAGATGTGTAAAAGTATAGGATTGTAAGGATTTTTCTTGTGATTGGTTTGAAAATAGTAGTTAAATAAGAATTAAATGAAGTAGTGATGTTAATTGTATTATTGATGAAAATTGAATTATTGGAGGTACAAAGGAGGTTGTGGGGATTGGATAATAGCATGGAGTGACAACATGTGCGTATACTTTAGATGGGTGCTCGACGCCTTGTTTTTTTTATAAATTTAATATAGTTTTTCACTATGAAATTCAAAATTGCTATGTTACAATATGATTGTGAGTTGGTATTGTATTTGATAAGAATATGTGCTAATGAGATTATAAATTGGATTACATACAATGAAAGTATGTGTTAATATGATTGTTAGTTAGATTAGATATAACATGATAGTGTATATAGATTGTATGGACATGGTAAATGTTTGGAATGAAATGAAGTTATATCTGGGAAATGTGATGAAACAATTAAATTAAGTATATAATAAGTGTTATGACATGCATGACGTCGAATAACAGAGCTATCTTTTAGAATTGAAGGGGTTTTGAGTTTAATCATAAAGTTATGATTAGAGGGTTCAAAAGTCACCACCTAGTATTATGGTCATTATAAAACCTATTGGTATGCGAGAGTCAGGGTAAAGGGATTTGTGTAAGGAAAAGACGCATTACTCCTAGTGCACTCTACCTATAGCAAGCTGTATTGTTGATTGATTGTTAATCTAAACCATGTTTTTATTTGTTGGTCTCATTTACAGTTCAAAGCATATCTCTTTTTGGAGGAAGTCTCTACATTATTAGATTGAATCCTAATCGTTCTAAGGTCTTAATTTTAACATTGCATTTATTTTCTATTTTATTTTTAATACTTGAGGGTATACTTTACAATGTAATTTTATACTCATAAATATTAAAGTCTTCAGCTAAATCCTAACACTCCGAACAAAAGACTAATTGTTATGAATTTTTGGTATTTTGACCAAACCCTAATAGATAATCATCAATCGGTTACAATGTCCATTTTGTATTTGTAAAACATGATAAAAATTATGCATGAAAAACTTTAGAATTTGGTTGCATGCACAAAAACAAAACATTTTTTTTTTGAAATGAGGGATTTTTTTATTTTCTTGGATTTTTTAAAATCTTGGAGAAAAATCAAATATTTTTAATATTGGGTATATCTTATAGTGTAAGTCTATGACATGATATTAAACAAAATTATTGGAAAACATGTGATTAACCTACAAATAATTTAAAAAAAGTCTTTGATTTTTTTTTTTGAATGTTTTTTGGCTTTTTATTAGGCTTGTTTTTCTAAACATTAAAATAAAGACGAACTAAAAACTAATGGAAACACATTAAGGTGTGTTTAACAAATATTTTCTTAGTCTAAGGGGCTAGGTTGATCGTGCTCGAGATCTAATCCTAGTCTAGTTAGGTTGGGTTGATTGAATACCAAATAATTTCTTTTTTTTTTTAAAAAAAAAGATAGGTTTGGCTAAGGGTCCAGCCTGCACAACTTAGTCACTAGCCTAACCCAATGACTAAGTTGTGTAGTAAATTATAGAACCTAAATTATAATTCATATTCTTGGTTGTAGTTGCTGGGGGGTCCGATGTAAGACTGGCGGAGACTTTGGTGGAAGAACTATTGGTTGGTGAGACTATTAGAGAGATAGATGGTGCTCTTGTTACTGCTTTGAAGAAGAAGCTCTTCTACTGCTATCATTATTCATAAATGAACTGGAGGAGAGGAGTTGGTGAAGGCGATGTACGATTGTTGGTGTAAGATGCTGATGTTGGTGAAGGCAAAAAGGGCAAGGAGATGGTATGGTGGTGAAGAGGAAATGTGGAAAGGTTGAGTTAAGAGGGACCAAAAAATTGTATGAATGATGGTTTTTTAGCTCTTTTTTCATTTCTGATTTCTTCTTCTCTAATGCATGAAATTCATCTCTATTTATAGAAAATGAGAAAAGGACATCTAATCTTTATTGAGAATAAATATTGGCCTTTGATTCAAATGAAAAAGATCTCAACTATTGGACAATAGTCATCATCACAAACTATGAAATTTAGCTACCAAGGCTAATTGGATCAGCCTCTTTAGAGGGGGTGTCATGGTAACTATAGATGTGACCAGCCGACAAGAATTACACTAGAGTGTAGTACGTTATTGGGCCATGAGAGTAATATCTTGTTTGTCATGTTTGGTAGAGAAATGATGCATTAAATGCCCTTGAAAAGTAGTTACCAAAGTAGGCTTTTGGGTATAAAAGGTTAAAGGTGATGAATAGAAGCCAGATGACAAGTCATCTTACACCTTTTTTTTATAGGTCAAAACAACATCATTTTGTACCAAAACAAATCATTTGGTTAAAATGTTCCATTTATTTAAATAAAATAATGTCATTTTAAGACTTTTAGGGTTTTAATTAGGGATTTGACTAAAATTCAATTTAGTCATTTATTTTTATTTCTTTTAATTGCATCCTTAATTGATGTCAAACTTTCAATCTTATGTGATTCTACCCTTATCAAACTCAAATATCAACCCTTAAGTTCAACACCTTTTCATTTTTATCATTGGTTTTGAATTTATACAAATTGATCTTCAATTGACCATTTAACTTTCAATTTGCTTCAATTTCGCCCTTGTTTTCAACCAAATTAAGTTCTTGAAGTTTAATGCCTTTTAAAAAAGATCATTGGTTGTGAATTTCTTTAATTTGACCTCTAAACTTAATTTTCTTGCAATTCTGTCCTTGATTTCAATTAATTAATTTTGTAAAAATTAAGTTTGGTCCTTTAAAACTCTAATTGATACGACTAAAGGATCGATGTCTTCTCCTAAATGCAGAAGTGTCGAAGTAATAAATAACCCGGCAAGACTGGAGTCGAACCACAAGGAGGTTAATTGTATAAATTATAAATAACAGCAATATAACAACAACAAGAATAGTAGTAGTTGTTGTAGTAATAGTATAATAATAATAATAATAATGAAGAAGAAGAAGAAGAAGAAAATGATGAGAGCTTTGAGATGGAAGATTAATATAAGAATTATGATAACAACAAATGTCAAGGTTAGAAGATCCACTAATAGTATGTCAAATAAGTATAGTATAAACTCTTATTATTCAATTGGAAACCACACATAAAAGAGGCTCTAATCAGATTATATATTGTTAACATGATTACATTAGTTATCTTATTCGAACAATGCTAATACTAGTAAATGTTGTCAGGCATTTATTATTATAACTTATGTTAACAACAAATCAAGTTTTTTTCATAGCACAAGTGTTGGTTCTACCATACGGTTTATGTTATAAAAGTGTCAAGCATTTGTTGTACCAAGTGTTATACAATATAAATCTAAATTAACCATTAAACAAGAAAAGTATTAAAAGTGAATAAGATAACAAATACAAAACACGTTAGTATCAAACATTAAGGTCTATGTTGAATTTACACTATACTTATTCTTACACCATTAGTGTAACCTTTTCACCTTGACATAATAAACTTAACTAAACATAATAAAAGAAAGAAAAATAAATAAACAAAATAAAAACATAAATAAAACAAAAGATAACTAAGTAAAGGAAAAGAAATGAAAAGCATAAACTTTATATTAATAAAAGCAAAACATAAACATTACAAAAAATACAAAGAGACAAAGCAAGAGCACGATCTTGATCTGGAAACCAAGATGCTTAAATACATGGCAAATGCCTTCTTTTATAGGCCAAAATTGAAAATTATTGATTTGATGACTAATTAATGAGAATTGGAACCTTGAGAACATGAAAATTCTAGAAAATTATCTCAGCTTTCTAGGAAAAAAACATTGAGGTCATTTCGATTTCTAGAACTCCAGATATGGACCAAACACTGAACAGTATTCAGGCTGCAGGACAGATTCAGACTTCTTCGTTGTTGCTACAATTTGGACTTGAAAATACCTTTTTAAATCTTAGGCTCTCATGAAAGTTGTAGGCCTACCTTTCCATCCATATAATGTAGACCTAAATCCGAGATCTACAGCTCTAGATATGACCCAATTACCGAACAGTGTTCCAGTTTGGACTGCACTAGCATCTCTTTTTTAAGTTTGGCCATCTCTTTGTCCTTTCAATTTTAGTTCTTAAACTCATCAATCAATCCTTCCATTTATATAATAGGCTTGCATTTAAAATGAACATTTACCCCAAATTAAAGGTATCTTATATTATTAGATATGTTATTATAAAACATGTTTTAGTTAAGGAGTTATTGATACTTCAAGTGCAAAATGATGATATAAAACCTTGATAAAAGTGCACTTTTAGGTACTCATCACTAATATTCTCAATTATGCTTAAATTAGGCTTCCAAACGTATTTTTTCATGAATTAGCTCTTTAACAAAATTAATTTGATCCATTAAAAGTATAATTATATCCTTAGACTTAATTAAGTCTTTTAATTTAACCCAAATTAATTCATAATTAAACCTTTAATTTGACTTATGATTAAATCAAATTGGCCTGTTAAAAATTTAATAGGTCCTTAGACTTGATTGTTATGTAGATTCGCCTATTAATCATTTAATTTAACCTTGAATTTGCATTGTCTCTTTGGTCTTCGGTACAATGGGATACGATTAGGCTTCTAATTTTGTCCAAAGCTCCAGCTTGATTCTTTTATATATTTGAAACCCTTTTTAATATGCTTTTACCAAATTGCTAATTTTTTTTGTTATTATTTTGATTCTTGATTCTTGATTCTTGATTTTTTGATTTTTAAAATGAAAAAGATAAATTTAGGGGGCAACCCAAAAATAGGTTATAACATTAAGTATGGAAGGATACATAGTGGCTAAAGTGTTGAAAAGGTAATAGGCTATGTTGTAGAACTAGTATCCCGGTAATGCAGCTAGCACCCATTAATATGTTAGGTTTGGGAACTAGTTACCTAGTAATGGGTTATATTGTGAAACTAGTATCATGGTAATGGAGTTAGTGCCCTTTAATAGTTTATGTTGTGGAAATAGTTGCCTGGTAATATGATTAGTACCCGAAGATAGGCTAGTGGCATTAGTTTGTTTGTTGATTGGAATGTGCAAATTGATTTAAATGGACTTGTGTGGAGTTAGTATTTTCTAGATGACCAACTTGTCGGACTATTAATAAAATATTGGGTGAAACTCAACTATTAAATAATAGTTGTAAACTGTTGAATTAAGTACTAAATTAATAAAAAAAAATTATGATTAAGTTCATGATATTAATCATTAAAATGATTAATACATAACCTTTGTGAAGGATGAAGATAAAGATTATATCACTTAGAAGAATGCATGAAAATGTAGATAATTTAACAAATTCAAGTAGTGATAAGGACGACCACTATGACAAGGAAGATGATGTTATCATATCAAGGACAACTTGGAGATAAAAAAGGATTAAGTGCATGATTGTGTTGGGAAGTCAAATAAAGTATAAAGTAGGGTTGTATTGTATGGATTTTTTTGTATAGAAAATTTGTGATCAATGTGATAACACAATCAAGTGAATATAAAAATTAATTAAAATGACTTGTATGGCATAACTTAGGGCTATTTAGGGACAATCTTATCTAGTTCTTGATGAGGAAGGAACCGT